AAATTTTTTTTGGCCTTACGACCTCTGAGAATCAATACATTTCTGAAAGCTCTTATGAATGGTACAATTATGTTTAGATTTGAGCCCAAATTACAATAACAAAACTGCATAGAATATTTGGCTTGTTCCCACATCGCCTCGTAGTCATAACATAAGCGGAGGGATACACCGGAAATTTTCTAAATTTCTTCCGGTTTAAGGACGCTTGTTATTGTTTACATTAGATCACCCATCCATATTCTAAATAAATTCAGAATATTAGTTAAAAACACTTTATTTTTAAATTTCGCTATGTTAAGTCTATGACAACCTCGCCACCCAGGCACCCGCATTTGATTGTTTGTTTACAATCAATGCCCGTGCCCCATACGCTATCTGGGGAGAGACTGGTTTCATGCCTCTGGCCCTTCTCCCTTCCTTGCATAGGTAAAAGAGTCTGTTTAACGCCATCTATAAATTTGCGCATCAAGAAATGTTAAAATGCCAGAGAAGACAGAAATAAACTGCACAAAACGTATGTTTGTAATCTTTTGTAGAATTGAACTTTAATTAACAAGATGAATATTAGTATTTAAAAGCAGTTCAAAATGAACAATATAAATGCACCTGTTTTAAAAAACTTCCACTAACTTAAGTCATCTTAAATAGCACTTTTATATGTGAACACAGACTATTTTTATGCAAATAGTGTGCGGTTATCGTCATTTAATTATAGTTTATCTGCTATTCTATTCACAGGCGATGTAAAAAACAAACATTCGATTTACTTTATGATGCTTGATGAGTATATGTCAAAAAGACATTATTAATCAATAAAGAAAAATAATTCAATGGAGTATTAAGTATATGTTATCTTACAAGTTTTACTACAAATTCCAGATCTTATTCATCATGTTCTTCATACTGAAAGAAAAACCTTTTATTAATTGTGAGAAAAAAGAGAGAGATTAGAAGAGCATTATCCTTATAAAGAAAAATTTGCCTCATGCTGTGCTTGTGATAGTTCATGTGTTTATTCTAATAATTATATTTATTAAAAAAAACTATGGATCCTTTTTGTGTCAAAAGTTAACAAAATTCCCTGACTGTTCTATTGATACAAGTAAAATAAAAAACAAAGTGTTCAAAAATTTATTTATGATATAAATTTAACTACAGAGAAAATTTAGCTGTGTAATGTGTGTGGTGTAGTTAGAAAATTGGGCTAATAGCTGCTGTGTAATGTGTGTGGTGTAGTTAGAAAATTGGGCTAATAGCTGCTGTATATGTGATCTAGCATTGAAGCATTAATCATTGTAGCTTTTATTTATATAGAAAAAGGCCTTATATATTTTTACATTGTCACTGTGGTATGGTATATGGCCTTAGTATTGGTTTTTGATGCCAGACAAGAAAATCGAAGCAAATTTTGACATTTGATGTGCTTAGTGAGAATGTAATAAAAAATAATTAATGATATTTTAATAAATGATATTTCAGTAATGCTTTTTACAAAATATTAACATTTAAATTATTTCTCTTGCCTTTGCTTTGGAGACATTATTATAAAATTTATTTTAAATTCATTTTAAATTGTCAACTTCTTATTTTATGTGTTGTCTTGTTTAGTAATAGCATTTTAAACTTTAAATGTAAAAGCGTTTTATGGCAAGTATACTGTGCACTATTTAGTATAAGGAGACATTGTTTGCAATATAAGTCTTAAAATGGAGAGTGACTTTCCTAAGTTAGATACTGATACTGGCAAGAAAACTTATTTTTGTAAAGAATGTAATCAGAGTTTTTCATCAAATTATTTTCTAGTTGTCCACAATCGTGTTCATACTGGAGAAGAACTTTATACTTGTAATATATGTGATAAGAGTTTTACTGTTAAGAGTTGTCTAATCAGACACTGTCGTATTCATACTGGTGACAGGCCTTATTCTTGTGATACATGTCATAAGACTTTTTCTCGAAAGAAAGATTTAACTGATCACGAACGTGTTCATACGGGTGAAAAACCTTATTCTTGTAATATATGTAATAAGAGTTTTTCTCAGAAGAGTAACCTTATTACCCACAGAAATGCAGTACATGCCAGACAGAAATGTTTTTTTTGTAGCGTGTGCAATCGTAGTTTTATTACGAAGGGTTCTCTAAATGCTCATAGTTGGACTCATGTGAAAGAGAAACCTTTTGCTTGTACCATATGTGATAAGAGTTTTTCACAGAATGGTTCTCTAACTGTTCACCTTCGTACTCATACTGGTGACAGACCTTTTTCTTGTAGTATATGTAATAAGAATTTTATGAAAAAGAGTAATCTGAAAGAGCACAGCCGTATACATTTGAAAAATCAGATTTCCTAGCATGGTGTGTATTAAGAGATTTTTAGTAAAGTAAATGTGCAACTGATTTCTTTTTTTTCATACCAGTGTGTTAACTGTTTGTTCTGAAATCGCTGCAATTTATATTTATTTATCTTTTTATAGAATCTTTGTAAAAATTGTACACATTAAAAATTGCACATTTTTTCTTTAGTTTGGGAAAACTTCTTTCATATTTAAATTAATTGGTACATCATGTTGCTTGTACAAATAAATTTTGCTATTTTGTTTATTTATTTGCGTAAAATACCGACTTAGCCACCATCCAAATTGTGACAAAAATCCCGGGCTGATTGTGCTCCAGAAAAAATCCGAATTTCCGGAACTTGAAAACAAAGTTTATTTTATTTGTTTGTAAGGGAGAGCCAGAGAGATACACTTTATTAGCTTATATTCATGATTAAAATTAATTTTTTATTGGTAAATAGTTATTATAATCATAAACTCCAGAAAGACATATTTGTAAATTTTAATTACTTCTCCTGGTCCTCATAGGCCCATAAGCAGAATATTTTCAAATGTTCTGCAACAGAACTTATTAATTTATACAAATGTTCTGCAAGCATTTCACATCGAAAAAAGTCAACTTTATGATAAAATACTATATTTTCATTTATTAAAATACAGCATCATACACAGATACACTACATTATTTTTTTAAACCAAGGCCTTAAAAATCTTTCGAATAGGCAAATGCCTAGGTGGTGCACCATTTGCAAACATTCGCTGGTCTGTTGTTTCAACATTTTCTTCATCTTCATAGAAAACATTTGATCTTTTAGAAACAATTCTGTCAATCGGGGATCCCCAAGATTCACAAATTGCTTCTGAAAAGGGAATGGAAAATATGAAATCATAAACTTCATGAAATTGGAAATCTCTGAATTTAATTCTTTTACGGCTTGCTTTAGAAGCTCTCTTGATGGAAACGGTGATCGATTTCTCTCGCTGTCTGCTAAAAACTGATACAGACATTTTATAAAAATGTTTTAGTCAAAAGCTAATTCATTAATTTCCTCCTCAGAATGGCAAAAATAAATTACTGATAAATGTGCTAAAATTTGTGCAGGGTGTCAAATGTTCCTGTTCTTAGGCAACAACATTCCTGGGAAGCAGCAGGTGGTCAAAGCTAAAGAGAATTTTCATTCGTTTAATAACAACATCAACGTTTTCCGGTTTTTCAAAATATATTTTATACTGCTCCAACATGGAATCGATGTAGATTATTATTTGCATTGCATCTGAGGAAAATATAGAAATCTCAGAATTATTTAAGGCGGAACATAGACTTTCGGAGCTAGCAGGCAAATCTGGCAGAGGAACTCCTTGAAACATACTCTCTAACTGATTTGGGAGGAAATGTTCTGCAAGATTATGAGGGGGAGCTTTTGAACCTTCAGGTCATTATGGTCTACAGAGGAATGTATGAGATTAATGTTGGGGATAGTTCTGCAGGAGACAGGTGGGCAGGGGAGGGGCGGTTTCGCAGGAAAACGCTGCCAGTTATTCAAGATACAAATTGTTCTGCAGGACTTTGTTTGTTCTGCGACGTACGTCACAGTTTTAGGCACTTTCTGCTTTTGGGTGTCATAGGTATGTGTAATTTTAAACATATATTAAGTAAACTAAGAAATATTGAGAAAAAGGAAGAAAAAAAACCTTGTTTAAATTTTTTTTCAATTTCAGCTTCTTTTTTTTTTAAGCACAAGAAATTTCGGAATTTTTACTTGGGCTCACAATCACCCCTGAAAATCTAATACATTTAATAAAGCGGAAATGTTACTCGATTTAATTAAGTATAAAATAAGTAAAAATAAATAATTGAAATAAATAAATAGTATTTTAAATAGCTTAATTTTAACCTTTACTGCTCTTTCTCTAATTATTACAATTGCATACTCCAAAGCAATTGGACGGACAGTTAAAATTCTTTTATAAAGAATGGACACGAAGAATGTAAAGCAAATATATTAGATTACAACCATTTCTAATTGGAATTGGGAAAGCCTTTGAAGGATTTGTCTGAAATAGCGTGAATACTAATCGCATTGTTTGTTTTTGAGATTGTATGAAAAGGAATCCCAATGTTAGATTTTAAAATCGTCAAAATACTAACCGTGTAGTTTGAATTTTAATGTGGCATGAATTCGAATAGTGATATTGAATTTTATAGATGTGTGAATACAAACCATCTTGTTTTATTTTTAAATCACTCCAATTTGAATTGTGATATGTAATTTTTAAATCGTAAGAACACGAATAGCTATAACTTTTAAATTACATAAATCGATGTTTTATATTAAAATCGTTTGAATAAAAATAGCTGTGTTGAATTTCAAAAATTGCATGAATACAAATCGCGATATTAGACTTTCGTGTGAATATGAATCGTCATGCTTCATTATTTAACCACCTAAATACTAATCATGACATTTGATTTTTAAATCACTTGAATTAGTGTTGCAATGTATAATTTTGATTGTAATAGTAAATTTTTTTAAAAAAATATCCAAAAATTTAAGTATTACCCCCCATGGGTGTTCTGTGGAACCTTAGGGTTCCGTGAGTTAGGACTTTTTTTTTTAACCAGTAATTATTTTTGAAACCTGTTTTTTTCATATTAGCAATCCATTATTTTTTTGATAATAAGGTTATTTTTATGAAATTATTAGTGTAAAATTGCAATAAAAAAATAGCAAATTTAAAAAAAAAAACGAATCATTGAATAAATTGCTAAAATGATATGCATTTATAAAATAATCGTATCAATCTATCCCATAGAAATTTGAAATTCTATAAATATATAGGCAATTTCAAGAATACAATTTTTTTTTCTCTTATAACCATTCTTACAGTTTATAACAGCTCTTTTTTTTTCAAAAACCATAATTCAGATTCTTTTATTCAATTTAAACTTATATGACAAAAACTGTAAGACTTAAATAATATAACAAAAACAAAGCCTCTTCAGACTTGCAAATTCAACTGCCTAACATAAAACTTAATTTTAAGGCTGTTTTTCGAAGACTCTGACGTTATATGAAATACTTTTTTGATAATAATATGCTATTTTTATAACTGCTGTGAGTTTGCAACTATTGCAACAAGACTATTTGGTCAAGTTTAGTCTATCTAAAGCCAGTGATGTCCATACTTATAAAAATGGTGCAAAATGTCAATATAGAGAAAAACCCACAGTTTTGTAAAAATAAAAAGTGTTTGTGGTCTAATCTTTTAATATTTAAAAACTTACTCCAATGCTACATTACCTGGACTCATAAAAATTTGCAAAAACTGAGAATAAGGCAGAGATGTTGATAATTTTTACCCTGTTGGAAAAATGTCACGAAATTAGTTGGTTTTTAAAAAAGTTTAATAACTTTCAAAATATTTAACTTATTTGTATATTTTAAAGCCCAGATAATTCTTCACAAGATTGTATATATAGTTTAAAATCATCGCATTGCTACAAGTGTAAGGCACTTAAACTAAAGCTTTTATATTTTCTTTAGCAACAGAGCTTCAAAAAACAGCATTAAAGAAATGAAACAATTGAAGAAACCAAACAATGAAAAATTATATTCTTGTTAAATTTTGAGATATTAATGCTGTTATTGACACCTTGCTAAGAAACTGTAATGTTTATGCGAAGGAAGAGAGTGATGGTCAGTAAAAGTCTCTGGAAAGTTCGGAGTGTTGATTGATTAATATGAGGTGTTGACGGGCTTTTGAATGACCTCTCCCTTCATTCCCCTGGCTTTTCATTGGCGAGTTATCACTATTTTATGTTCTCGAAACATTAGCTTCTATGTTGGAATACCATGAAAGTGTAGGCAGAAGAAATGTCTTCCTTTTTTGTCTGTAGTTGAATGTGTTTTAATTCTGTAAGGGGTCAGTGAAAGGACCAAAGCGGAAAAAGGATATGTTCTTGTACATTGTTGGTTCAAAACTGGGGTTTCAATATGCTTTTTTTTAAACTATGTGTAAGTAATTTAATTTATTCAAACAGTAAAAGAAAACATATAAAGAAAATGGTAGCATAAGTTTATAAAATAAAAAAAGTTTTGTTTAATAATGTGAGGGGTAATTCTAAATCTTTTTTTAAATTAACTTTAATTTTTGAAAGACTTATTTGCATTTTCACCTATTGCGAAGCCTTATGGAATTATTTTTAAAAATGTTTTATTGAAACAAAAAAGCACTTAATAAAAAATGAATAAATTTTTAAACATTTGATACTAAAAAGTAATGAAATAAGGCATTTAACTTCATATATTGTGCATATCGTGAGAATTATATAGCTGAACTATGATGCCAATATATTTTTAATTTTTTTTTGGGGGGGGGAGAGGGGAAAAGGTAGAAGACTGCTTAGTGGATGAAAATTTGTCATTTGAGGTTTGCTAGATAGCTTTTTGATGTTTTGGGTCAGTTTGGCAGTTAGGTACAAGCGTTTCAATACAGTACATTTATACTTTTTATCAGGTACTATAAATGATAAAAGACTAAATTTCAGCTCATTCAATTGAAATAACTATTTTCTGTGAATTTTTAAATGAAATTGTCCTTAACGAGAAAAAAAATTTCACATTTCCGAGCGTACGTCTCGAAGCATGCAGGCATGGTGAAGTGCTTCTTTCTGCTCTCACCCATTTTGAAAATTTTAAAAATAGTCCACTGTTCTCGATTATCTATGAAATTATTTGATGCTACATTTTGTTACGAAGATTAAAGATAGCACTTTATGCGCATATGGGGAAATTTAAGAATTCTTGGAAACACTTATTTGTCTAATCCTTTGAGGAAGGGATACGCAAAGTCCGGGAGTCCAAAGGGAAATATGCTTTTTTTCATGGAGTCCACTAAGAACAACTACATCAGTGAAATACAACATTTGTGATACCATGAAGATCGGTTGTAACCTAGATACAAAATGATACGTCATAGCTAGTTCTTTAGGTTCGAACATTAAATAACTTAAATAAAAAGGGATTTTTCATAAATTCTGCCACATGAGAAAACTTTAACTTATAGAATTCGTAATTAAAGGATGACAATGACCAAAAATTAAAACTGGCAACAAAAGTTCAGAGAATGGAAATTTTAACTAACCTTCAGATTTCTAGTATAATGAAGGTATTTTATTTTCAGTTAGAAGCTATTGTGTGTTTTACTTTAATTTATATATCGTAATAACCTAGAATATGGAACTTGTGCCAATTTTGGGTTGTACCCCGCAATTAGTAGGCTAGATTTTCATAAACCGGCTAGTATTACCTGCACCTGACAAAAAAATTCCATGTAACGCAAATGCATGTAAGTTCCATAAAAAAAAGTCCACCGCTAAGCTAGTTTCTTCCAATGTTTGATCTAGGAGCTTCCTTGTCTTCTGAATTGGGTACAAAATCACAAGGTTAATGAATTAAAAATTGATACTCTTAAACTCAGAATTGGGTTGGCAGTTCAACATAGGTTATGAAATATTAAAAAAAGTAACAGCGAAAAAAAATTTTTCAATTCTAATTCTTCTAATGCTTCTATAAAAAATCTGTAGTTGATTTCTTTATTAAAACTACAACAATTACCACAATGCTAGTGGTAGGTATTTGCCAAAATATATTAAGCGTTATCTGCGTCAATATTATCATAAAAGTTTTCTACGGCTCCCATAACAAAACAAGAAAATCTTTCTCTATTAACTTTGCCTTTTTGTACTTAGCTTATTTCTGTCATTTAATGCATAGTTTTCAACATTAACTAAGCATCATTGTTCTATACGAATTACCTTTACTCCATCAATTTTGCCCTTTAGTGAATAATATTTTTTTTAAATTTTAATATGTACTTATTACCTAATTAAGTTAAGCATCATTGGCGTCAATAATAGCATGGGCATGGAGATTTTGTACATTTTTCCTAAACGAATTAGAGCCATTTTCCCCTTAATTTTGCCTATCAACATGTAACAAGTTTTTTTTTTTTAAATTTAAATTACCTTCTATTTTAATCTATTTAGTTTCACAGGAACACGCTACAAAAAAATTTTAGAAACAAAACATTCAGCTTCAGATTACTTCCTAAATATTTATTTGGTTAAGTAGTCTGCACATGCTACCACGTTAACGATAATCATCAGGGCCGCCCATATGTTTGAATTTAGGGGGGGGGGCTCATGAAAAAAAGAACGACAAATAGCTTAATGAATTAAAAAATCAGTCCCGCAGTGGACTGATCGTTAAGACACGGTTCCCAGCAGATCACCGAAGTCAAGCATCACTGGCTGCGGTCAGTGTGCGGGTGGGTGACCACTTGGATCAGTCTGCGTAGGGACCGAGGGTGTGCGGTATTGGTCCTCGTTAAACTGTGCTATCGTAAAGTGCTCTACTTCGCACGCAGGTCGTCGGGCTACCGAAGCGGGGGTGCTTTCCCCTCCGCAGAGGATCAAAATTGTGATGGCATGTCTTCGGATCATCCTCCGGGATGTTTCCCAGACCGTCACCAATAGCCCATTGTGCAGCTCTAGTGCGACTTAATTAACAACAACAACAACAATTAAAAAATCAACAAAACGAAATTTTATCTATTTAAATATTTTTAACTTAATTAGCTGATTAACTCATTAATTTCACTTTTAATTATGCATGATTAATCAAATACGCATATGTTTCATTACCGAATATATTTTCTAGAGGGGGGGCCGGGCCCCTTCGGTCCTCCCCTATGGGCGCCCTTGATAATCATTAATCTATATAGTTCTGTAACGTTAATCATAGATCTATCAGACATAGCGAGTAAAGAATAATTAAATGATAAAACTAGCTCATAATTGTTACCTTTAAAATATTTGAAAGAATAGAATCAGCTATAGCAATTTGAATCAATGGTTCCAATCAAGTGATTCAAATCTCTATTATATTAATCAGGGATCCAAACAACTTAACTATAGTTAAGTTGTTTGGATCACTGATTTGAATCAAATGATCCATGTCACAGATTCAAATCATATACTTCGGATTAGTTATTTGAATGAAGTGATTAAGATCAGTCATTCGAATCAAGTGATTCAGATCTAATTCAAATCGAGTAATTTGGATCACTCATTCAAATAACATCATGAAATACCTCATTCACGAATCACATAATTTGAATCGAATGATTCAAAACATTATTCAGCTTAGATTCTAACTACAATTCACTTAATTTTAATCTGCTTCTACTAAATGCCCATAGGGAAAAAAACTGTATTAAAACTTTCGAATTCTTTCAAGTAAATAAACATATTTATCATAATGTATTCGTTCCTATATGATATATGCTTAACGCTGAGTTTAATGTGCAATACATCATATTACACGAGCTTAAAAAAATTTCCATTTGTTTGAAAATCATGGCAGAATATTGAGTATCTGACCAGCTCTTATTACTATCGTTTACGCACATCCAATCTCTACAAGAAAAATGGTAAACTTTATTCGAGAGAAAACAATTGAAGTTTTCCTCCGACGGTGATCGAAAGTGTTTGATTATAGTCATATGCAAACGATTCTGTATAGCGCCATCTATAAAGTAATAAATCAGGACTTATTGGAATATCAAGGAAAGCAGAAATAGACAACACAAAACGTGTGTTTGTTATCATTAAGGAATTTAAATGTCTCTGTCTCTAACATTATAATTATTGATTAGCTGGATTAATATTTAAATGTTAAATTTAATTCACAGTATTTACACACATGTGTTAAGAAATTTTCACAAGCATTAGTCAAATGAAAGAACACGTTTTTGTATTAACTAAATGTAATCTTTATTGTTAGATGTGTGTTGTGATCATTATTTGTTTATTAGCCCTTCTATTCACATGCGAAGGGGAAAAAAACATTCTATTCATTCAACGATACTTGATCAATTTGTGTTAAAAAGACACTAGTCATTAATAAAGAAAAATAATTCATTGGAGTAAATGACAAAAAATATACCAATTATAGTAATTTTAAAATATCGTCACCAGATTACAGATCCTATTCATATCACACTATTTTCCTCACAGTGACGAATGATTTATCGCTAATTATGTAGCGAAAAAGAGAAACTGAAAAAAAAAATCTATCATTTTTTTATAATAAAATTAACTGGATTCATGCTGTGTTTGTTTTGAAATATCACTTCAGTATCAGCATTTGAAAAAAAATTTGCTCATGTGTTATTCTAATAAGTGCATTCATGAAGGACTTTTGATGCAATTGGTGTTAAAAGTTCACAAACAAAGTTACCTAGTAAAAATTTTAAAAAATATCACCGTATACAGATTATTGATGGCATAACTTTTATTTAACTTTTTACATAATTTTATGGATAAATATCAATTGTGTGGTGTAGTGAAAATGGTCTAGTAACTTTATTGTATACACTGAGCATGTGAGCAATAATCATCATAATTTTCATTTGTACCATAAAAAGGCCTTACACATTTTCATAGTCTGTTTGATAAAGTATTTATACATTATATGCTTCTTAAGGTTTCTGTTTCTTTGTACCTTGCTATTTAATGTTAGCTTGGTATCCACATAGCCTTAATATATTTGTTTGCAATTCCGGGCTGAAAAGTTCAAGCAGATTATATCAATTTAATTACTTAATTGTAATGAAAAGTTATTGCTTGGTTTTTTTAATATATGGTGTTTCAATATTGTTTTTTAAGTTTTGATAACAGTTCAAATATTTCTATTGCCTTTGCTTCCAAGACATTATTAGTTTTTTATCTTCAACTTCTTATTTAAATTTCATTATTTTATTTAAAGTAATATTGTTTTTGGCTTTGTATGTAAAGGTGTTTAACAACAGGATTATTATATTGTACACAATATAGCATAAAAGATATATACAATATGAGTCTTAAAACAGAGAATGATTTTAATAAATTAAGCTCTTATACCCGTAAGAAAACTTTTTTATGTAAAGAATGCAATATGAGTTTTTCATCAAATTATTTTCTAGTTGTTCACAGTCGTGTTCATACTGGTGAGGAACTTTACACGTGCAATATATGCAATAAGGCATTTACTGTTAAGAGTTGCCTTATCAGGCACTGTCGTATTCATACCGGTGACAAGCCTTATTCTTGTAACACATGTAATAAGACTTTTTCTCGAAAGAAAAATTTAACTGATCACGAACGTGTTCACACAGGTGAAAAACCTTATTCTTGTAATATATGCAACAAAAGTTTTTCTCAGAAGAGTAATCTGACTGCCCATAGAAATGCAGTTCATACTAATGAAAAATATTTTCTTTGTAATGTGTGTAATCGGGGATTTTCAACGAAGGGTTCTCTAACTGCTCATAGTTGGACTCACGTGGAAGAGAAACCTTTTTCTTGTACCATCTGTAATAAGAGTTTTTCACAAAGTGGTTCTCTAACTGTTCACCTTCGTGTTCATACTGGTGATAGACCTTTTTCTTGTAGTGTATGTAATAAGAGTTTTTCAAAGAAAAGTAATCTAACAGAGCACAGTCGCATCCATTTGAAGAAGAAGAAAAAATCCTAGTCCCAGGAAGGTCATTTAACTACTCATTGCTAGACTGTTATTTGTGAAACTTTATCCTTGTAATACAGTTTGCTTTCTGCTGAACAACTTTGAAGAGACTGTGAAAAAAGGTCCTTAAGAGTGTGTCCTTAATCAGAATTTTGTGAAAAAATAATATTTGGAAAACTTTTTTTTCTTTGTGGTTCTGCAAGGATAGGACTTGTGAATTAATTTCATTTCAAATTAATGGGTTATAAATGTTTTTTTTCTCCCAACTAGTACACAAATGATGTTGACAAGAATAAAATAGAATGACAAAAAATAATAATAAAATAGTGCAAGAATAAAATCAATCATAAGAAAAAAATGTTGATTGCCATAATTACTGCCTGGTCCTCAGTTTTAAGCCTATTAAAAGATCATCCGTTCTTCACTTAGAACATTAGTGGAAAAATTATAACATTAGTAGCAGTTTCATCTGTGTAAGAGAGCATTGGTGGCTCAATTATTTTTAAATTTTCAGAATCATTATCTTTATCGTCATTATAATTTATAATGTCTTCAAAAATGTCATCTATATGTCTTAAATCAGTTGTTTAAATATCATCATCACAGTCGAAAAAATCCTCTTAATGAAATATTTTCCCCATTTTTCTCGACTCTATCAGATTTAAAATTAGTTTTTGATCACAGAAAATCTCCTATTAGAGATAAAGAATTAAAAAAGAAAAAAAAAATTCTACGTGTTATAAAATTTCATCTATGAAGAGAGACACAGTCGTCTTTAAAGATTTTTCTACCATGTAGGATCTGAAACCATAACATATTTTTTTTTTAGATAAAGACTGTTGTTAACTAGAGCGACATTAAACAGAGATTTATGAAAAGTTTTTCGTTGTTAAAAGTCGTCATTTGTTATTAAAGGTTTTCTTGATGTAAAACTTCGTACTTTTTCCATACCTGTGTGCATATTGGTTATTCCAAAATGACTGCCATTTATTTATATTTTTGGAATCCTTGCAAATTGCTTACATTCACATTAAACAAGTTTTAATTTTACTTGGGAAAAACATTTTCATATTCTAATAAGTCATTATCAAGGTTAATGAGAGAAATACAGGGATTAATATCTGAAAAGTTAGATAAAAATAATAAATTGTCTGTACAAGTGTCTGCAAACTCATTATATTCCTTGATAATAGAGAGATTTTATCCTGAATACTAAAAATATATTAAAAATCTATAAATACCTGCTTGCATTAAAAAAAATTAATGTATAATTAGTATGTGAGGATAAATATTAACAGTGAGGGGATTTAATTTTGGACTATGTCAACCTTCATCTATCAAAAGGTACCTCAATAATATTTGTAGTAGTAGTTACGCCACATTACTCCCCTTCCAGAATTTTATCTGTGATAGAATTCAATGAATGAATACCTTTAGTTAATTCATGCTATTTATTTATTTATGCCAATTTTGCTCATTATATATTTTCTTCAATTTTTTTATAGCATTTTGCTCATTTTTTTTTCGTTCATAGCAATTCGCTGATTTTTTTCCCCTTTATTTTTTGTTTATAGCACTTTGCTCATTATTATAATTTTTTTTTTCAGTATTGTTTATTACCGGGAGACTTTCTTTACTTCACCAAATTCTTTTTTCTTTGAGCAGTATATTTTTAAGCAAATCAATTGTTTAGTGTGGATCATCCATCAATATTGGCATGTTCTTATCACGTCCGGAGGTCACCAATGAGAGGAATTAATTATAAACAAGAGAGACTTATTATCGACTGTGTCAATCTTCATCTATCAAAAGGTACCTCTTGATGGAATCAAGTTAACATGTCTTATATACTAGTGATTTGGTATTCAATATTTATAGCGGTAGTTACGCCACGAGTAATGTGGCATAACTACAAATATTAAATACCAATTCAGTAGTATATAAGACATGTTAACTTGATTCTATCTTGAGGTACCTTTAATTAATTTTTTTGGTTTTATAAGAAGGGCATATAATTACTAGAGAACTCTTAAAATATAAATGATTGGATTATTCTTTAAGGTAGCAATGGTAGCAGTAGTAATTTTTTTTTTTGTAATTTGTTTCCAGATTTTTTTCATTGATATTTATGATGAAAATGGAGTTTTTAATGAATATGGTTCAATTCAAATTGTTTTAAAAACAATGCATAGTTCACAATATTCAGTTTTATGCAATTATATTGTTTTGCTAGAATGTAAATTTGTAACATTACCGACTTGTTGAATCTAAACTGTGAAATATTTAATATTTTTTGCATTTTTGTATGCACGGTTTTTCAGACACCCTCTGAAATGCAATAGGCAACTCTGAGTTCTCCCTAGGAAAAAAAGGTGCAAGGTTCTTCCTCTCAGAAAAGAGCACTTAGAGTTTCAAAAGGGCACCTAACACCATTAAAATTTATCAAAATGTGTAATATGTAATAACTGAATTCTATCTTCAACTTTCAAATTACCCTCTTTTTCTATTTTATGTGTGCATTTCACAAAGTAATTCTCACACATTATTAAAATAAGAGAAAAATTTGAAGCTTTTGAAAAATTATTAAAAGTAAGCTAAAAGAAACTCACTGTGTGTATTAATTTTCATCAAAAAAATTAAGCTAAAAAACAACTTTAAAGCTTTTTATTATATTTTAAGCTGAAAATTATGAGATAATAAACATTTAAAGGTGCATTTTTAAATAAAAGGTATATATTTAAAAAAAAAAATTAATTTGCAGGAAATTAAATACTTTTAAATGCTAGAATTAATTCAGAAATATAATTTTTTGTTAAAAAAAAACATACTCTTTCTAAAAAATTTTCCCTTTTATCAATAATTGATTTAGCAAATACATACATACATAGTAAAATTTAAAATCTCTAAAAAATTCGTTAATGCCCCCCCCCCTCCCCCCAATAAAAAATTTTAATATCTCTGGGACTGAATTAACTTTAGCTATATAACTAGACAGCATAAAAAAAAATCTTACTAAAATGAAGGAATCAAATTAAAAATTTAAGTTAAGTAATTATCAGTCACTAAATAAATCAAAAATGGACTTTTCAATAAAACAGATGGTTAGGAAAACAACCTTTTCTTGAAAAAAGAAAATAAAAAGGCAATGTTTTTAAGGGATGGTGGCTTATTTTTACAAGAAGGACGCATTAATAGGCATCAAAGGGCAAGCCGAGCTAGGCCGCCCTTCTAAAAACGCGTAGAACACTGGGCAGCTCTTATAAAATTGTACACAATTAATTGCCTCATATTAAACCCTACTCAGACAGCCGGAGTTACTTCAGAGTGGCATGTTATTATATTATTTATGTAAATAATTATTTATATTTTCATTGTTCTACTTACTGATCTATTTTTTTAAAGAAATTATGAAAATTAATTGAGTATGTATGATAAACTATTCATATTGATTTCTGTTTTTTTTTTTAAAAAAAATCTATTTTTAAGAAAATGGGGAAAACTTTAAATAGTTTGTGACAAGAGTATAACAAGAATTGTGATATCACACAATGTAATTAAAATAAAAGCATTTAAAATCAGCTGGTTAAATGTATTTATATTTTTAATTTTTATATTATATTCATCAAAATAAGTACACGTGTAACTATTTTTATTGTTATCGCTCTCAAATGTCATCAAAACACTTATTTAAAGTTTAAAAAATAAAGTCTTTACATTCTCCTTTGTTTCTAACCTGATGCAGATATATGTTTATGTAATAAAGCATGACATGTGAACAAAAGGTAGTTTTCATTTTTATATTATTTTCAGCAAAATGAGCACACATATAATATTCATTATTGTTATGCTCACAAACTTCATTAAAATTCACAGTTAAAGTTTTAAAATAAAGCTTGAAATATGATCTATAATATGTATTTTATTTCTGAGTTGCAATATTATGCTTTTGTAATGTGTGACATGCGACAAAGGGAGAGATATGTTAAAGTATGACTCTGTAATAAAAGAGGAACGGGCACACACACATATATGTATAAGAAAAGTGTGTCTATGCGTTGCAGGTGCACAATTTTTTAGGGGAATAAAATTAAAGTACACAGTTATTGTAGTTCTCTAAATTTCACACATAAGGAAGAATATTTCTTATATCTGCTAAATGATGTTTGTGAGGAGTTATTTATTCCTGGAAGTGTGATTAGAAATCCTTCACCCAATAATCATCCAAAAATAAACTGGTTTTATATAATTCTTTATTTTATTTTCAAGTTCTATAATCTCAACAGCTTTCATGGATGAATTCACTAAAATATAAAACTACTATTTTCCAGGGTCCTACTGAAAATTTTGTGATCTCTGAAAAGTATATATATTATTGCTCTTTATTTTCAGTGATAATAATGTATCGCCTAAAGTTATTACAGTACAGAACCCGTTATCCGGAAATCAGAAAACCGAAACGAAATTCGATAAATTTTCCCGCCATTTTTNAGGTCGAGGGCCGAAAGAATAAGAGCTCAAATTTTATACAATGCATAATATTTTGCCAAGAGCAGACATATTTCGCCTAAAGTGGCAGCTGAATAAGGCTGACGACGAAATTAGAGTACCTAAGATATTCGGAAGGTGATTGCAAATTCGGACTAACATAATATATATTTGGTGATAAAAGTCTTCCTGTAGCTATAAGGATACCAATGAAACCTTCATTGCCACCAGGCATAGCGTTACAAAAAGAGTGCGCTGGCTAGTTGAAAAGTGGTCAAAATTTTTCTATCACAGATCCGAGTGTGATTTAATAAAATCTATATTAAAAATAAAAGAAACGTTTTTAATAAATTTGGCAATTTAATTATTAAAATAGTTTTTTTATCCTTAATATTTTAATTGGCATTTCCATATGGGAAAATGATTCATGTTAATTTCAAGATCAATTACTTTAAATAAGAATTTTTAAATGAATATAAATACTTCATGAAAATATGAATGAAATAAAAAAAGTAGATTACCATTCTCATCTAAGTTATTTGTGGTCTTTAAAATACATTTCAGAATAGTTGTTGAAATAGTAAAATTAAAACTTAAAATTGAGACACAGTTATCGCCATATGAAAATTTTAAAATAAATTAGATTTTAGAGAAAAACCGAGCTAAATTAAATGTACTAACGTAAAACATATAACAATAAATTTTCTCTTTCTGCAGTATCCCTAGGATAGAATCGATTAGAATATAAGATTTTTACCTCCATTCTTAAAAAGAGGAAAAAAAAACTCGAATTTAATTTGTATATTTTTTTTCTGTTCTTTAAATTTCGTATACTGTCATTTAATTTCCTCGTTTTGTATACAAAACATCTCTGTCCATTAGAAAAATTTGGCATTTAAGGGGCCCGATCGAAAAACCATCTAAAAATTTTTTTAAACATATATTTTTTTTTCTAATACTATAATTTTAATTTATAAAGTTTTTCCCTAGACATGTGAAACTATTGTCTTCCCATTTCATCCTTATCATAAAACGAAAAAGTTTTTGAATTATCAATACTGAGCAATTTAAAAAAAAAATTAAAATTATTTAGTTTTTTTGTTATAATTTATCTATTTTTTATTTTTTTGGATATTACTAGCGTAAAGCCTCATAGAACCCTGCTCAGATGCTCACTTTACAGTAGCTGAGCTACCACTGACATAGCTCTTCTTGGAATCAACCACACACAAATTTCATTTTATAAATTTCCTGCTGTTGTTGTTAATTTACGTCGCACTAGAGCTGCACAATGGGCTATTGGCGACGGTCTGGGAAACATCCCTGAGGATCATCCGAAGACGACATACGATCACAATTTTGATTCTCTGCAGAGGGTATGGCACCCCTGCTTCGGTAGCCCGACGACCTGCACGCGAAGTCGAGCACTTTACGGTAGAACAGTTTAACGAGGACTAATACCGCACACCCTCGGTCCCTACGCAGACTGATCCAGGTGGTCACCCACCCGCACACTGACAGTAGCCAGTGATGCTTGACTTCGGTGATCTGCTGGGAATCGTGTCTTAACGATCAGTCCACTGCGGGACATAAATTTTTCGCAGTGTACTGATCTCATAAAGACACGGTTCACAGCAATCAAGCATCACTGTTTGGGGTAAATAAGCAGGCGGGTGACCACTTTGATCAGCTTGTATAGGGACTGAGGGTGTGTGGTATCGGTCCACGTTAAACTGTTCTACAGTAAAGAGCTCGACTTCATGAGCAGCTCGTCGGGCTACCAAAGCTGATGAACCATTTCCTCGGCATAGAATTAAAATTGATACCATTTTTTTAGGATCATCCAGAGATTTGTTTTCCAGACCGTCGTCAATCGAGCAGATCTAGTGCGAAGTAAATAATCAACTACTCTACTCCATTTATAA